CCGCGGTGGCCCCTCGGATCGCCGCCCGCCGCGTGCGGGGGGCATCTGCCTCAGTCCGCGCGCGGGCCCAGCCCAGCGTGGACACCGGGAGCCCGGCCCCTTCGGACTTTTCCGTGGAAACTTGGATTTCACTTTCCAAGACACTCAGCAAATACGGGGCTGGAGCCGGGCTCACGCGGAGGCTGGCACCGGAGGATCGCGTTCAAAGCCCGATGGGGTAAGGAGAGGCTGGGAGACTCATCTCCAATGAGCCAGGAAACCGGAAGTGGAGCTGTGGCTCGAGGTGGTGGGGTGAGGAAGCTCGGGGGCAGGGCCCAGGCTGAGCTCAAGCCCCACCAAGGACAAGGGTCGTGCCCGGGGCTGAGCGAATCCGCAGTCCCTGGGGCCAGTCAGGGCTCCCCATCCTGGAAGAACCTTCATCACCACTGCCTGCCCCCAGCCCTGTCCACCAGCCCCCCACCGTGGAGAGAAGCCCTGGAGACTCAACTTGGGACTCGGAGAGTCCGGCCAGTTCTACGCTCCCTGGCTTCCAGTCAGGGCAGCCCCGGAGCAGGACACCACGGCCCCACTGGACACCACCACACTCCACACAGCAGTCCCCGGGGCACCCAGTGCCCGTAGGTCCGTGAGGGTGGATGGACATACAGTGTCCACTCTCGGCCTCAGTGCTTCTTTGGGACGGCTGCTGAAGGCCCCCCCCCCCGCAACAGCTGGGAGAACCAAGGTCCAGAGAGGGGCTCCACCAAAGACTCCTGGGGGCGCGGGGGCTCCACCAAAGACTCCTGGGGGCGCGGGGGCTCCACCAAAGACTCCTGGGGGGCAGGGGGCAGGGGCAGAGCAGGAGGCGGACACAGGCATGCCGGCAGGTGTTTATTGACAGGGAGCAGGACCGGTCCTCAGCGCCCAGCAGGCCAGCAGGCACAAAGCGCCCTGCGCTCAGCCTGGAGCAGGAGGGTCTCCGTCTGCAAAGCAAAAGAAGGCTGTGAGGGTGGGGAACGGCCCCTGCTGTCCACCCCGGAGCCTGAGCTCGCTTCTCCACCCTACCCCGCACAGCCTGCTGGGATGACCACTCCACCTTTCATCCTCACTGCCTTGATTTTCCCAGAGCAGCCCCTGCCCCGCCCCATTCCTACCTAACCATCCACTAACTCCCAGCTTCTTGCAGCTCCGATCTGCTCAGGGCCCCCTCAAGCCCTGCAATGGCCGGGCGGAGTGGGGGCTGCTCTTCCCTAGGCCCCATTCCAGACCCATTCCGGACTGTGGGGGCTGGGCCAGGCCCTCCCACTGGCTCCTGGGAGACCTCTCCCCTTGCAGGTTTAGGGCGGATAAACGGGTCCCTCCCAGCGCCTCCCCACGAGGCCTGTCACGCCTTACTCCAGCCCCGCCTCCTTTTTGCTTCAGTTTCCTCAGACTGGACTGGGTCCCTACCTGGGGGTCCTGCACGGGGCTGCCCGCCGCTGGAGGACCAGATCTGCTATGCAACTTTCAGGACCACGCAGGAGCTAAACTTGAGCCACAGATATAGGCCAGACTTGAGCCCACTGACTGGGCCAGGCCCAAACCCACAGACTGGGCTGGGGCAGTCCCCTAGCTGTCCCTGTGGCTGACCCTGGCTGTCCCCGTGGCTGACCCTGGCTGTCCCCGTGGCTGACCCTGGCTGTCCCCGTGGCTGACCCCTGGCTGACCCCTGCCTGTCCCCCAGGCTGACCCCTGGCTGACCCTGGCCATCCCCCATGCTGACCCCTGCCTGTTCCCCTGGCTGTCCCCTTGGCTGACCCCGAAGGCTGCGGCTCTCACCCGCGCATCCAGGCTGTAGGCCGTCTTGCGAAGGTCCTGCAGAGCGCGCTGCATGAACTCGAACGCGTGGCAGTCCACGCACGGGCGGCCTGCGGGGACGCAACCAGCATCACGCGACCTCCCCGCGCCCCGGGGACCCCAGGGCCGGTCCTCCGGAGCAGAGCCCGGCCCGCCCGGCCCGCCCTCCACCGGCACCTACTCTGCGCGGG